CTGTGAATATGTTTTTATTTGCCCTTTCACTTGAGGCAAATTCTGTGTACAGCAGTGGAGTCCAGAGTGGCTGATTTTCCTACTGAGCATCACATCCTCCCCTGTGAAAACTATATATTACAATGTGCTTTATAGCTGCTTTATGGCTGAGGTACCAGGACTGTTTGCTGGAAAATTCCACTTGAAAAAAAATCCTCCTTTTCCTTCCCAGTGCGCCATGCCAGATGCATGCTTTTCCTAGTATTAGTTCTTTAATTATACTAATTAGCAAATCTGATCCTTAACTCTGCACTGATCTCAGCCTTATCTGATTAAACTGATGACTGATCCAAGAATATTTAATCTAAAGTGAAGGAATTTGTTGTTTGTCAGTTTTCCAAGCCCATGGTTCCCATCCACTTTCTAATCTTTATATTTTCACAGCAGGCAAAATTTAGGAAAATACAGATTTTCCTAGAAAGTGTTCGCATTTGAACTCCTAATCATGTGCACATGTGGTTTTATTTCACTCAAAAACGTAATCTCATTGACCTTACTGGGCCTAAGAGTGGAAGCGATTGCTCTGATGTTATGAGTGCAACTGAGCCATGTTTTCCTATATGGGTGCCTCTGTTTTGAACACAGGATTGATTTCATTGCACAGTTTTAAGTATTTGAATTTGTAGGACAAGGACACGATAATGGAATCAGGGTGGGCAGCAGCCAATGGAGAGGTCCATGCCCAAGTCTTCCGGCCCAGTTTTACAAAGTATTAAGGCTTCCAGCTCCTGCTTAAACACTTCCCATTACTATGCATGGGAAACCAGTTACCTTGCTCCATCTGTGCCTTTGAGAGTAAGCAGAGTGAAGGTCTTAAGGTGGGGTGTTTTTGCTTTAAGAGTTACACTGTTTCCCCATCTCATTCAACAACTAAGCTGTACTGCTGGTAACAAAAAGGGCCATACCACCTGAAGGCGGGTTTCCATGGCAAGATAAAGAGAAAAGAGCAGGAAAGGTGCTTATTTGTGACTAACAATTAACTTGCCACAGTGGTCTTCATAATGTTGAGACTGAGGGAGGGAGAAACAATTGGTATTTCTTTTGAAGGCAGAGCCCTGCTCCCTCATGGGTAGTGTCTTTCTTATTGGGTGAATTGTTCCTAGCTATGGCCAAATTCTGTGTCAATGCTGCCCTTTAAACTAAATGCCAAGATTCAAAAGATTACATAATTATTAACGCAAACATTATTTATACTGTTTATATTTCATGTACAACCTGGTAAAACCGAAGAAAACCCTCAACACCCCTGGAGGATCCGATAAAGGAGATTGGATTGTTGGGTGTCCCCACATTTGAGCATCTGCTGCACTCATAACCCCTGCTTTCTGTCCTCCTTCACAGTATCACTGAATATTAGGAGCTGGAAGGGACCTTGAAAGCTCCCCCAGTGCAACCCCTGCCAGAGCAGGATCACCAGAGCAGTCACACAGGAACACGGCCAGGGCTTTGGGGGTCTCCACACAAGGACACTCCACAACCTCTCTGGGCAGCCTGGGCCATGCTCCAGAACTCTCACACTCACAAACTTTGGCCTCATCTTCAGCTTGAACCTCCTGTGCTCCAGCTTGCTCCCACTGCCCCTTGTCCTGGCATTGGCCACCCCAGAGCAGAGCCTGGCTCCTTCCTCCTGACACTGCCCTTTCCAAATTGAGACCCAGGAATGAGGGCACCCCTCAGGCTCCTCTTCTCCAAGCTCAAGAGTCCCAGCTCCCTCAGCTGCTCCTCAGCAGGAGATGCTCCACTGCCTCCAACATCTCTGTGGCCCTGCTGGACTCTTTCAAGCAGTTCCTGTCCTTCTTGACATGAAGGTGCAGAACTAGACACAAGATTGCAGATGTGATCTGAGAAGGGCAGAGCAGAGGGGGAGGAGAACCTCTCTGCCCTACAACCACCCCTTCTTATCCATCCCAGGATGGCATTGGCCTTGTTGGCTGCAAGTGCACGCTGCTGGCTCATGGTCATCCTGCTGTCCACCAACACTCCCAGGTCCCTTTCTCATGTGCTGCTCCCCAACATGTCAATACCCAACCTATACTGGAACGTGGGGTTGTTCTTCCCCAGATGCAAGACCCTACACTTGCCCTTGTTAAAGTTAATTAAATTTTTCCCCATCCAACTCTCCAGCCTGTCCAGGTCTCACTGAATGGCAGAAGAGCCTCTGGAGTGTCAGCCACTCCTCCCAGTCACTTCTGCAACCAACTCTTGGGCCTGGTCCTCAGGTGACCTGGGCTCAACATTTCCTTCTCCCAGCTCAGCATCACCAAATGAACTGTGGGGCAAGTGTCATCCCAGTGCCAAATGATGGGACTGGGGCCAGTGCTTGATGTGGAACTGGGAGTCTTGGAGATAAGTATGCACATTAGGCTGAAACAATGAGAGTGGCTTAGGAAATGATGAGACATTCATTTGAGTTTGACTTTGGGATGAAATCTGTTTTCCAAGCAGATGTCATTGTTTGCAAGTGGTTTTGTGTCTTTATTATTATTGTTGGTGTTGTTATTACTACCACTGCTACTACTACTATAAATGTTAAATGCGGTGACATCTCTTTTACTGTATTATCCTGGATCTGGGAGGGAAGTAGCCCAGGAAAGAGCCCCAAAACTCCTATCCAGCAGAAATATTTCGTATGAGTCTGTTATCATCTGTGTGCCGAAAACAAGAATGTAAGAAGAGTGCTTGAAAAAGAGTTTGGGACTTGAATAGCATTTATTTGATGTAAAGGAAAAATAAACCCAAACAACCAAAAAACAAACCCAACCAAAATGGTTTCAATAATAAGATAAATTAGTCCAGTTAGCAACGACTGCTTTTGGAATGATAATGACGAAAAAGCATGATATTCTGAGTGACATACATGTCAAATTACTAAATAACTGTCATTTTTCATGGGGCGATAGGAAGAATGAATTCTCTCGATAGCATAAAATGAAGAATTAATTCTGAATGATGTGCAAAGTCTTTCTAATGGCTGAGACACGGCCTTCATCTTTTGTTGCTTTTCTCTTCTGTGCATACAATTTCTTTACAGTACTGCCAAAATATCCCTGTTGCTCGGCAACAGCAAGCTCGGCAACTGGAATGGCACCAGTCGGAGGAAATCTGCTGATTTACACTGGTTATAAAGTGTGTGCTCTTACCCAAGCGAGATTTTGACATGAGGGCAAAAGCTGGCCTTTGCCTTCAGCCTCTTGCGTTGGCTGCTCTGCCTCCCTGGGGAGTGTGCGGTCCTGGGTGAGGAGATGCCAGCTCAGACACCAAAAGCCGTGCTTTCCCCTCACAGTTTGACAAATGGAGAGATGCATCCTCAGGGCAGAACTTGGCCTTGTCTAAACCCAGTCTGGGAACTCATCAGCATCTGCCCTAGGAACGTGTCCTTCTCTGGTCTCGAGGAGGTTTCCAGCTGCAGCAGTAGCTCTGCAGGCACAGCACTGTGCCTTCGGCTGCCTGTGCCTCCCGTACAGAAGCAGACTTTGCACTTGTACATTTAATAAGTTATCAATGCTCTAAATACAAAAAGCGGAAGCTCAAAGTTTCCTAAATATCCCCCTTACACGGATGTCATAATTTTCTTTTCCAGTGTCTCCTAGAGTACTTATTTAAGAGATGGCATATCTTTGGAAGAGCTTAGTGATGATAAACAGAGGAAAACTTCTATCAAACTCAAAAAAGTATGAATATTTGTTTTAAAAATTACCTTCACACAATTTCATGTAGATATTTACCAAGTAAAACACAGCAAATGGTACATTTTTACAACTGATCTCTGTAGTGTCAGTCATACAGAAATACTGTCAAACATCTGAAAAACTAACACATCACCAGAAAATACTGCCAGCAGTTCATCCCAAATATTTTTTGACTGGTATCTTTTTGATCTTTATAAAAAGACATGGGGTTTTTTTCCGTCTTCAAAAGTCTGCAATAGCGCTATTCCCAAGATGGGACCATTTTGCTGCTTGATGTTTGAGTCTAAGGGGAAGAATGTGGGGAGAGGGGCCAAGAAGATCAGCTCAAATTAGTTCTACTTGTGCACTGACTGAAATGGGCCATTTTATTGCATAGGAAAGGGACAGCTATGACTTTGCTGCTGTCCTCTCCTTTGCTAATGCATGACCAAGTTCAAGTAATAAGAAAAATAATGAGATTAGCATAAAGTCATGAAACTTACTACTTTCTTTTTGTAGAAAAAGATTCTTCTCACTGGCATTTGCTTGTGTTTATGATTTTGCTCTGCAACTGGGTAGGCCTGAAACATTTTTTCTTTAATGAAATGGTAGAGCCTAGTGCAAACTAAAATATCCAAAAGCTGGGTCTGATCAACACCTCCTCCCTGCCACTATTGTGATTTTTACCACAATAATGGAAGCGTTGGAAATGCTGCCTGCAATTTATCTGTGTCCATCTCATGTGTGATGATTACTAATGTGCATTGCTCTCCACAGGGCTTGAGTGATCCTCCAGGCAGAATCCTTCACCACCTATTTTCTACTTAGCAAAGAGTACTCTTTACTCCACTTCTCTGCTGCTATGAAGCTCCCTAAGACTTATCCTATTGCAGTCATAAGCTGGTTTTAGCCATTAATTAGGAGTCCCATCAGATGCTGAGAGATACTCTGCTCTTTATTGCTTTATGTCCGATTGCTGTGACTTGGATTTCTTGAACAGATTTTTCTTTTCAACTTTTAACTCATTTCCCCACTGTTTAAAATTCAAGTGTCTTTTCAGGCATATGTGCTTTTAAATTGTTACAGATTTGTCTTGGGAAAGGTCCTTCCAGCACAGTCCTATCTCATCAGGACAGAAAAAATGGATGGGATGGAAAAAGTCTCTCCACTCGGAAAGTATGTATTTTGGTCTTTTGGCTTTGTAGCAAATAAATAACATTTTTTTTGGAAACACTTTGTGCTCTTGCCTTAAAATCTGTCAAGTGCCTCTCTTCTTGGGTCTTTATTACTCACAGAAGGGCCTCTGCTGTTTGTTGACCTTCAGATAATAAGCTCTGTTGGCTTCTGGATAGGTGACTTTGGAGAGTGGCAGGTTGTAGATGGCAGAGTTGATTGTGGTTTTCAACAGGAAGGTCAGTGCAGACAAACAAAAAGACCAGGTTCCTGATGACACTCCAAACTGCAAAATAAAAAACCCAACAAAACAAACCACCCAGTTACTATGTGTTTTTCTTTCATTTGATCCCCTAGGTCTTGAACAAATCTCAGAGCCAGACATCTCGGAACAAGCTTTCTCAAGAAAGTCTTGAGTTGGCTTTGCATGGGGTCTTTCACAGAGGAGGCAGGATTTCTTTATGAGATCTTGATATTATGCATTAATCTGCCACATCTTCCAGCTCTGGTGAAAAGGCTGCCTTCTCTTTGAGCATCTGCAGTGGTCTTGGGTGGAGATGAGATAGGAGGGGAGGGAGATGAGACAGGAGGGGGTACCAGAAGCATTCAGCTTTTCCCTGGACTGCTGTGCTGACTGCCTTTTGACACTTGGGCAAAGCAATTAAACCAAATTTGAGATTTCTTTACATGTGGCCATAGCCCTTTTCTCAGTCACTTTAGGCATAGACATATAATTATCTCAGAGGTGTTGAGGACTGAGCTGTGGATGTTCATGTGAGCTCTGAGGATTAGAAGTGATGATGGTTTTAAGTGCTCTGTTTCAGTGGAAACCACACCACACCACCCCCTTGGGCAGACTGTGTGCCCTCTCCCAGACCAGTTCTCTCTTTGGCTGAATTTTCTTCGAGTCTTGGTATTTTGCCTCAAAAATCAGGAAAATATACAGTTTTCAAATCTGTCTTTGGAAAGAAGACCTTAGCTACTTACAACAGACAACATGTTGGTCACTGTTGCTCCCAGGTAGGCACTGAAGAGCGCTGTGAAAAAGAAAGGTAGTTCCTGGTGAGTTCAGTTGCTCATGGAGGACATCTGCAAGGGCAAAAACCTCTCACACTGCCTTGGCTAACTCAACCAATGTTTATGGCCATGCCTCAACAAACCACTCTCAAAGTTCTTTCCTTTGCAGTGTCCCCCCCCTCCAACCTGGAGCTGATGGAAAAGGCAAAACAAGGAAAATAACTGGAGTGATGAAAAACTTGACTACGGAAACTGAGGCTTTTCAAAAATGCACTGATGTGGAATGCATGTAGCTTGATGGATGAAGTCAAATAGGAAAATATCCCTTCCAGCCCTGCGTTTGCTGCCTCTAGGGCTAGAAAGTGAGTCAATGAGATGCAGAGGTAAATCTTCTTTATATGAGCACTGAATGAGCAATAGTTTCACTCCCAGCTCACTGTGATATTGAAATTTCACATGTAATTGCCTTATAAATAATTCTCCAATCATTCTGTGTTGTCTAGCTCCCACCTTTGATATCAACTTCAACAGACTGGGAAAACTGCACTGCTCAACTCCAGGTGCAGGCTGATCTTGAGCTCCTGTTTTCTCAAATCTTAGATATATCCTTCTCCAAAGAAGGAATTTGAGCTGATATCAATGATTGGAAAAAACAATATGATTCATCCAGCGAAGCTGAACAAACACAATTAATGCCTTAAAACTAAGCATCTAATTTCAAAGACTTTACTTAATCAGCATCTGCTGATCTCGTCTCTTCTTTTGAACACAATTCATGGCTGAAAGCGAAAGTCTTGCTTTCATTTTGTCAAGGTACGTTAGAGCAATGGCCCCAACATCCAGCTCCATCATCCATCCGTCTTGCCTAAGTCCATCTGCATGACTAGAGGTGGCCATCTGGCTTCAGCCCACCTCTAGTGTAAAAGCATCTTGTCTCACTTCGAAAGGAAACATGGTGGTAGTGAAAATCCATGGGGTACAGAATCACAGAATGTGAGAAATTGCAAGGGACCTTGAATGTCCCTTGTGCAACCCCTGCCAGAGCAGGATCACCAGAGCAGTCACACAGGAACATGGCCAGGGCTTTGGGTGTCTACAGACAAGGACACTCCACAACCTCTCTGGGCAGCCTGGGCCATGCTCCATAACCCTCACACTCACAAACTTTGTTCTCATCTTCAGCTTGAACCTCCTATGCTCCAGCTTGCTCCCACTGCCCCTTGTCCTGGCATTGGACATCCCAGAGCAGAGCCTGGCTTCTTCTTCCTGACACTCACCCTTTACAAATTTATAAACATTAATTGGGGCACCCCTCAGTCTTCTCTTCTCCAAGCTAAAGAGACCCAGCTCCCTCAGCCGCTCCTCAGCAGGAGATGCTCCACTCCCTCCAGCATCTCTGTGGCCCTGCCGGACTCTCTCCAGCAGTTCCTGTCCTTTTTGAACTGCGGGACCCAGAACTGGAGACAATATTGCAGATGTGGTCTCACCAGGGCAAAGTAGAGGGACAGGAGAACCTCTCTCGACCTACTCACCACACCCCTTCTAATACACCCCAGGATGGTGTTGGCCTTCTTGGCCGCAAGGGCACATTGCTGGCTCATGGTCATCCTGCTGTCCACCAACACCCCCAGGTTCTTTTCTGCCTGCCAGCTCCAGCCACTCGTCCCCAAACCTGCAGCGTCCATGGGGTTATTGAGACCAAAGTGCAGGACCCGGCACTTGGCCTTGTTGAACCTGATACCATTGGCTTCAGCCCATTGATTCAGCCTATCCAGGTCCCTCTGCAGAGCCTTCCTACCCTCAGGCAGATCAACACTCCCTCTCAACTTAGTGTCATCTGCAAACTTGCTGAGGGAGCACTCAATCCCCTCATCCAGGTCATTGATAAAGATGTTAAACAGGGTACGTACCACAGGCAATTGCCAGCAGATGTGTCTGCCAGGTGAATGCGTAGAACATGCCCCCAATGGCAATGCACGAGAGGGAGCTGTTGTAGCCCCATAGGCCAGAGTAGATTTTGTTAAATGGTGTTGCTAAGCTCAGTGCTGCAAAATAAGGCAAAGATGTGTCATTCCTTGGCCAAACAGATAAAAGCAGCTGAGAAATGGCATGAAGTCTACTTTTTAGGGCTCTAGCCTGCACATGTACACCAAGTTCCTATTCATGGTGTTGCTATGGTCTAGGACTATATCCAGTTTAATCTGATGCAAACATGACAGAATTCCGCTGATGCTGCTAAGCTGAATTCGGCCATGCGATTTCAGCAGAAGATGCATGAGTGAATGAGCATACATGTGAACTCTAAATGCATCCCTGAGGCCTGCACACTCAGACTAATGGCCATGGCTTTTATTAAGCTGCTTCTAAAACAATCAAAATATACCCAGAAATGAAGTATTTCATGATAAAAATGCATTTCAGCCAAAAATACACTTCTTTCTTCTGAAGACGTCCACTATTGTAAAATGAGGTACGAGAATGGGGAAGTCACTCAGAATTATTCTTAAAACAGAAACATGTATATATATATCTATTTATTTTCAAGCAGTCTATCTCCAATGGAAGAAACATTTGTGACTGTAATTGCTCTGCTCATTGCAGTTCCTCTTTTAGTCTCCATGCTATTATACAAATCTGTGACACAAGTCAAATCCTTACCTGCCAGCATCCCCACTGCTGATCCAATTGCTGCATGCAGACAAATGAGCGGAGAAGAGATAAATAAAGCAATAAGGAAAATTCCCCCAGTCCAGGGGTTATCACAGCCATAAACCTGACCCACCCCGACTGGAATGGATTGCAGAAGCTACAGGAATTTAGAAAAAAAAAAAAAGAAAAAAGAAAAAAAAGACAATTTGTTATTGGCTTTGTAATTTCATTTTTTTAAAACCTATTTTTCTTGGCCAGGTTTGTGTTTGGCATTTGTTGGATGCAGTCCCTTTTTCTTGTCTGTAAGTGGAAGTCTGAATGCTTCCTGGGAGGCAGCAGGGAATTTCCACAGGGTTTCCCCTTTGGTGAAAACGGTTCATGCCTTGTTCCCTAGCCATGAGCTCCTCTGCCAGGTTTTTGCTCTAATACCAAAGTTAAACATCTTTTGTGAAAGGGTTTACTCATCATCTCTACATGTGCTGCTCACTCGGCCATTTTTGCATGCTGTTATGGACTGTGACAGTGAATCCAGTAAATGGAAATACTCAGGTAGGTGATTCTGCCCCTGAGTGGGCAGATCCAGGAGTGAAATGGCCAATAATGGCTTGGCCAGAATTACTTTACTCAGGTAAGGCTATATTCCTGATCTACTTATGTACCTGAAACTCCCTTGTGATTCGTAGGAAATATGAATGAGAGCTGCTGGGTTGGTGGAACAGAGCCCAACTCAGTCCCAGCTTAGAGATGGTTTCAGGACACTTCTCAAAATGTTGCATTCCTCAATGTGGAACAGTCCATTTATGGTCCCCATAAAACTAAGCACCATAGCAAACATTCCTTAAGAAATGTCACTCGTGTGGATTGCTATTTAGTGTCAATTAACTTACTTTTCTTAATCACTCCCTGGGAACACCTCAAAATAGAAGAAAGCTTTACTTCAGTATCTATATTTATTACTATGCAGGAGATAAAAATGTTTCTTTAGAGAGGTCCCGCTTGAATATTAACTGAAAATATATGAGCACGTGCCTGCACCCAAGTTTGTAACCATTCTTCCACAGTAATACCTGCTTGCTCATTTCTAATCACACAGATGTAATTTTAAAAACACTGTACATGGAAAACTAAAATTAGCCTGTGAGTGAACCAGTGGTGTCAGCTCAACCTTAGCTATGGGACACTGATCAGCATAGGCACAGTAATGAGTAATTAGATTCTAAAGACTCTTTGAAGTTTATAATATATACATTTAGATCCAACTGCAAGTGAAATATAACAAAAAGATTCTCATTTTCAAGCCGTCAAAAATGTCAGTTCCTAGAGTAAGCCTTTACATTTTTGATAATAGCTATCTTATAAACGCAATTTTGTATTGCCAGGCTTTAATGCAGTAACATAAAGGAAGATAATATGCTTCTATAGAGGCTTTCTTTGTAAATGCACAAAGCAGTTATCTTTAAGGCATCCTACCATTGGCACTTCAGCATCTGTCCAGGTGATGTTTGATGTTGCTGTTGCAGGCTGGATGACGGTTGTTGGGAAGAAGAGGTTGTGTGGTCCTGTTGCAGCCAGGTAGAGGGTCAAAGCCAAATTGAAAGGAAAGGTGAAAACAGGTAGATCCCACTTACAGAAAACTGACCCCAAAGCACTGGTGAAAACAGGACTGAAAGAAGAATGAAATGGTCTCACTAGGATCTTGTCAGCTAGGCAAAAGAAAAAAAAACCAACCAAAAAACCCCAAAAGACCTAACTGTAGGATATTCACTCTTTTTTTTTTTTTTTTCTAAAGCTATGTAAGTTTCCCAGTCCTTTGATAAAATCAGAGATATGCTGGGGTCATTCAGTAAATTTCCTACCCTTCCCAAGGCAGTAAGCAATGTACAGATTCCTGGCAGGTTGCGCAATAAGGTACGTGATGAATTTCACGATCATGAAGGAGACAAGATCCTCCCCTCACGTGGAGGACCCAGTAATTTAATGAAGTTATTCCCCAGCTCAGTCTCAGTGTTCACTTTTGTTTTGGGTTTGTTTTTTTTTTTCTCAGTACTCGAGGTGAACTAATTTTAGGACTCCTGTGCTGGGTCTGAGTGAACTGTGAAGGTGGCTGTGTGTCCTTGTTCAAGCTTATGGATAGAAATAAAGGCAGACATCAAAGTTGTGCTTATTAAAGTGAGTATAGCACTACATGTACTTCAGGCAGAGAGGTGATATGTGTCATTTTAGCGATCTCCAACTAGACTTCTGGGGACCAAAGACCAGTTTTAAAAATTTTCACTGTCCAGATACCTAGCAGATGATGGTGTCACACATATGAGTAAAGTATTATTAGTTATTTGTTTTCATTATCATCTACCATCATGTCTTTGGACCACCGAACAGCTTCTGTGCTTGAAGAAGTGAATTTTTATGACATTTTTATATGGTGGCTTGAATAGATGAAACAATTGCGGTTGGTGGTGGTAGGGAATGGTGAAAATAATCTTCCTCTTGAAATAGTAATAAAGTGACTCATAACAGCAATGTGGCTCACATTTAGGACATTGAGTTACACATGATCCACCATCAGATTTTTTTTCCCTATTGGGTTTATTCATGATTATGTAGGTGTTTTATTTGTTTCCAGATTAGTGAGGTTTAAAAGTGCAAATAATGATACAGATTTAGTAGCACATATGTGCTATATGTGGGGCTGGAATAAGAAGCAGGAGAGTTATCCAACTTACCATGTCATGGACACCAGTGCTACCGGCAGTAGAAGCCACCAGTGGTAGTCTCCCTTAGCAGAGAAGATGGCCATGAGCAATCCCACCAAGACCCCGTTATAGCCATACAGGCCTGCTGCTATGGCTGATCTGTGTGAAGGAAACAACTAACTTGAAATGATGGAATCACAGAATCATTAAAGTTGAAAGACACCTCTAAGATCATCAAGTCCAACCATCAACTCAATCCCACCATGAGCACTAAACCATGAACTGAAGTGCCACATCCACGTGCTTCTTGAACACCTTCAGGGATGGGGACTCCACCTCATCCCTGGGAAGCCTGTTTCAATGTTTGACCATCTTCTCCTCTCAGGGTGTTTTGCTAGAATGACCCTGTCAATCCCCATGCAGTTTTGACTCTGTGTGATGGTGACCTGCCAAGGCTCATGCACCGACCTTCAGTTTCACTTGAGTCCCATGTCCTCTCAGCAACTGCCCCTTCTGCAGTTACATCCAATGTCCCTGTACACCAGATGCAGCTGGTGGGAAGATCTATTTGGTCCTACCAGATCAGATATGTAACCAGTGATGACTAGATCTACGCTTTCCATCCATGTAACTTATATTTAATACATAAGTCGGTGCTGAAGTGACAGTCTGGTTTTGAAGGGGAAAAGAATGGATTTACCTGTCCTGGCCCAAAATAAGTGCTGTTAAAGTTGAGACAACTGTTCCTAAACAGCCGGTGAGTGTCCACCATGGGTTCTGCACCAGGAAGCCACCAACCACCATCAGCCCACTGAGGGGATTGTTGACAAACATCACCTGGGATATCCCACGCAGCACCCAGTCAATAAACTGGATTATGAGAGGTTTATCTGTAAGAGATCAAATTAAATAATTAAAAACAAAACAAAACCAAAATATGCAGATGATACTGATTTGGGATGGTTTGTTTGAAACTCAGGAAGAGTTTTGGCAGCGCAACTTGGCAGCACAACTGAAGAATAGAATCAACAAGACTGTAAAACCTGACTGGGATTTATTATGGTCTACACTGAAGTCTTACAGCTGGAAAGCTGAGATGAACTGTGTGGTTGCCAGAGTCCCGTGCCATAAAGTACCCTGGACCGGATTCATATGAACCGGCTAATTTATGATGTCTGTGTATCAGATGGCAATTCGTGTGTGTATCCCATTGTTGATTTATTATGGGGACCAAACACACCTACCTATGTGTAATTTAACTTCACAGTGGCATTAGGCTTGACAGAAACTGCTCAGCTGAAAGGACAGGGAGCGTTATGAAGAATGGCAGAACACAGAATAACCATCCTGGGCTATGTTCTGTGGGACTAAATTCGCTTTGTACATGGCATGTTGGGAGGTAAATGTCATCTCAGTCATCCTCAAGATTTAAGCAGTGTGTGGATCTCTGCGCAAAGCTGATTTTTCCCTCCCTACAGAACAGAAATAAATCAGGGCAGAGGTAGTTTCTGCACTACTCTAACTTGAATCACATTACTGATATGTCAGTTGTCACTAATTTGATGCAATTCTTTTTTGGAAACCCCTGATTAGTCATCTTGAAGTAGCTTTACCTTTTAGCCAGGCTCCAAATGCCTTCATGTCTCCAGTGATGTACCCAACAGCTTTGCAGACTTTCTTCCCAGCTTTGCTCAGTGGATTTTGCTTTATTTGCTTTCTTTCCCCCTTGCTTTTTATCATGGCATCAACACGGTTTTCCATGTTGATGTTCTGACCTTTCGGTAAAATTCAATCGGAAAAAAAGAAAAAAGACAGTTCATTACAATGCCTCTTACTGTTTATTCTCTCTACCACACGTTATTGCTCACCACATGTTATTTTAGAACAAAAAAGAATAAAATCCACACTCTGCACAGCTGGTTCTCGTGTCTCCATGAGCACAATCCCTCCTCATGTGCTCCTGGCACCTTGTGCTGTCACAGGGTCATGGAATGGGTTGAGTCGGGAGGGACCTTAAAGCTCATCCAGTGCAACCCCTCTGCAATAGGCAGGGACAGTTCCCACTGGACCAGGCTGCTCAAAGCCCCATCCAACCTTGGAGTCATAGATCTGAACACCACAAGGAAACACTGAGCCTTGTCATAGCATTTTACCCGATTTTGACTTTCTGCTCAGCTATACCATATTTAATAGAAATCAAGCAACTCTTGTTTTAAAGTGTGACTTCAAGAAGAGCAAGACGACATTGGAGGACACTGGCTTCCCAAGAAGTTGCAAGTTACCTCAAGATTCAACTTCATAATGATTCGCCACATCTAGGAAGCTGCTTCAATGATTAAGTTACCTCTGCTGCTTAACCCATATTTCCAGTTTAAAATTATCCATCAGCCAACAATAATAGGTACCTAAATTCAGGTTTATAGGTCTCTATATTGTCACCTGCTGGGATCGGTTCAACCTTTCTCACAAGCATCAGCTTATCTTGGGAGTTGTTTATGATGCCTTATTCCATTACTCACATGTAGACATACTTTTTTTTCCTCTATTGAACTGTATTTTTAGCTGCCCCATCTTCATCTCACTGATTTAAGAGCTTAAAGGCCGAATTCAAGTGCTTGCTTTCCATTCTGTCTTAGTCACGCTGCTGTCTTCTCTCTGGCAGATGCCCAGCAGAGTGTTACATGGTCTGCACTGGCCTTTGCTCTTCAGCAGAAGACAAGATAGGAGACCACATATTGGGACCTGTAGTAAAAGACCCACAGGGACTAATGAAAAAACTCTTATTACGTTTAGCAGGCACTATATCAAGACTTAAATAAGCTAATGGAGGGTTATAGGCCAAACAGAGGAGTTTAGACCTGAATAAGGTGTTTGTGGCATCCACACAGGGCAGTCCCCTATGGGAGACATGCCGCTTGGATTAGGAGCTGCTGGAATAGCTCCTAAAATCCTGGTCCCTGGACCAGAGACTAACACCTAACCATAAACACTGACATTTAAAAGCAATGTCCTATAGTCAGTTTGTTATCTGTCTGAGGGCCAGCTTTCAATATGAATTCAGCAAACTAAAAACAGCCAAACCTTTCCCTGGAGTGTACTTAGTTTCACGAAGAGTAGAGCTAATTTCAGCCATTGTCAAGACAAGGAAAACACAGGCCAGGGTACATTGTTGAGTGCGTACAGAACCAGAGCTCCCTCAGGTCTCACTGGTGAGTAGCTGCTTATGCAAGAAGAATTTAGGTTGCAAGGATACGCAAGGATAGGTTCCGCATTAAAGAGGCTGAAGACAGGACCAGTACGTAGAAGAGTGTTGAATTTGACTTTGTGTAGGACACGAAGGCATGGAGTTTAGCTGGAGAAGGAAGAAAAAGAAAAGATGAGTCTGTTGCTAGGGATGGTGCCTTGGTGCTGGAAGAATTTTCCCTGGCTCAGTTATAATTCATTACTTTGATTCATTAACCTTCACTTTTCTCATATTTTATTCTGAAATAATGGAATAACTGAATTGGATACACTTTCAGTTAAATCAAAATTTCTAGCCAAGATAAATGCTCTTCATTTGGTGAAAGTACATTTACATTTTCAATTTGAAGAATCTTCCTCTTCGTGTAACACAGGCTTTCTCTGTTGCTAATCCATAACATCAAGGGCTGTTGAATTTGCATTTGCAGAGTGATGGTGTGTGTCCCATGCCTGATATGCTTTCCTGCATGCTGAGTGAGGAGCTGTTTGCACCACAGGAGTCTGGAGATGTGCTGCAGTATAGGATGTAACATGAATATGAAGTGTCAGAGTCACTCTCTGGCCCAGTCATGTGGTAGAGAAGTAAATGGGTCCAGTTGGAAGGTGTCCTAGTTTGAGCTAAATAGAACTAATTTTCTATTTAGTGATTTTACTTTTCAGGTCAGCTTCTTCTAAGTGACTGAACTTGCTGGAACCAGCAGCATGGTTTTCCAGGATGTGCTGCTACAAATGATCATCACAAGGCCACTGTCTCACCATGGGTGCCGTGTCTGCACCTACGGTGGGCTGTATCTGCACCTACGGGGAGGAGCGGGCCCAAAACTGACCAACGAGGTATTCCATCCCACACACGGCATACTTGATATAAAGCCGAGGGATCACCAGGGTCTCGACCCTTCTGTCTTGGATCCTTCTGTCTGCCTCAGACCCTTTCTTCCTGCTCCAATCCTGCAATGGCCGAGGTCCAAGCAGATGCTGCTGGTTCGTCTGCTTCTGATCCTGGTCCCTGTGTTCCTGCATCAGCTCCCACTGCTGCTGGGTCCACACTGGGACTTTTCCAGTGCCCTGCTCTACAGAGCCTCTGGTGACGTATTTGTCATTGGAGAGGGTGGGGAGTGGATTTTATATTGGTTTTGTAAATATATTAGTACATATCTGTATATATTTCATTATTTTCCTATTTACATTATTATCCTGTAGTATCAGTATTACTGTTTCATTAAATCTGTTAGTTTTATTTTCAAATCCGTAAAGTCTCTCTCTCTTATTCTCCTTTCTCTTCCCTTCTGGGGAGGAGAGAGGGGTTGATAGAGAGTGTCTGTCCAGGATTTAGTGGCCAGCCCAGCCCTAAACCACGACAGAAGGCCTAATTAATCAAAAAGGGGAGTGCACCAAAGGATCTTTAAGGTCCCTTCCAACCCAAACCATTCTATGGGAAGCCTTTTGTCTGCTCTTGAGCCCTTTCGGCAGTGCGTGGGCTGTGCTGCTGGCACAGTGCTGTGTGAGGCAGTACTGCATGGTGTGAGTCTGGGGCTGAAGAACTCCTTTGCTCTGGGTTTTTGTGGGCAGAAACAAAGTCAGGTCAATGCACTTGGCAGGGCAAAAAGACCAAGTGAGTCACTTTCACCAACCTGCCTTGAACTTCACCCCTGATGAAGGTTGTGCCATTGCCCTGCATACCTGTTCTTCCAGAATATTCAAAACCACAATGATTAGGGCATGATCATGGGTACCTTCTGGCCAAACTCATGTTCATTATGTCCCTATCCCTCTAGAGCTTTGGTTCGTCTTTCCTATCAGTTTATATATGCTAAAGGAGAAAGACAACCGTACGAAACACATGGTATGTAGTGGGTGGGCTATGAGTTTATGAGGGCCCTTGGTTTCAGGTGGGGTCATCATTATATTGTAAAGACCCAGATCCAGTGCCATTGACTTCACTGCCACCCCAAATCATATCCCAGGTGCTGCGTGAGGGCTGCCTCTTGTATGTGGTGGTTTGGCCATTAACACAGCCATGGGGCTTGTCCCATCTGTCCAGAAGCACAAAGCATGGAGGATTTGCACCACTTCTACTAAGCTGTCCAAAGGAAGTAAAAAAAAGTAGTGAACTACTTGGAAACTGGCATCAGTATAGATTTTTGGGCTGTTTTTAATAATTTTTTATATTGTCAGAAGCAGCAGCTGTCATATGCTGTGATTAATGATCTGCTAAGGGATTACCTTATTGTAGGGAGTAAGTAATAGCAGCTATTCAAGAAAGGATGGAAGACCAACAGTGTCTCATCCCAGAATAATGGAGATACTCAGGGAATTTTGAGACAATGACGTCTGGATTTTAATTCAATCTGAAGTGTGCGTGTTCTGATGGGGATTACACGAAGGCCACTCTACACGAGTCCTTTGAAGACCTGCTGTTGAAGTTAATGTGTGTTTTTTAGCCAAAATGGAGTTTTTTTTCTTGATGCATGAAGGAGTGAAATGGAAATAATTGTGCAAGTTCTGGAATAGACTGCTTGGCTTCTGCAGGAGGGCAGGTTTTAAACAAATATAATTCTTTATTTCTATTAGTCCCATTAGTTCTATAAGCAAGAAGGAAAGTTTTGCAGCTAAGAGTATCTAAATATTTTTGTACCAGCTATGAAATGGAACCTGTGTGAATAGAAAAGAAAAAACAAAGATGTTTCTCTTGCATGAAAATGAAATAATAACAGGGCCAAGAAGCTTATCTATTGTTTTTTTAAAATCATCTTTTCAGAGTTAATAAATATCCTGTGGCAAAGTACTGATATTACACAACTCCGTGTCTCCCTAAATCAATTTCTGATGGAGACAAGCCCGGTCACACATGCATTGTGTGTTCTGCATGGTAGGAGTGGTGCTGTGCTTGCAGCTGGGAAAGGAACGGCAGCTTTCATTTGGTTAATTGTTTTAATATTCACAGGTAATAATTATTACCAAGCTGCTGCCTGTGTTGCTAGATGTCAGGCTTTTAGCTCTGAAAATGCAGCAAAATTATCTAATACTTTATCTTCTTTCTGGAATTTTCCTCTCTCCCTGACCAAATTCATCTTAACTGTGAATCGAGAGGCTTTAAATTACGGGTGGTATTTGTTTGCCCAAGAAACTACTACTGCACAATGACAGTCATTGTATCTCGCATTCTCCGAATTATTGCTGTGCAGGCAGCCAGCGCTGTGCCACAGTTTGTTTTTAGAGGAATTCCTGCATCCAAGCACAATAGGAGGAAAGGGCCAGATCCTCAGCAGCTCCAGCATAGCCTGCGTAGTGTCACTACGGGTTTAGTAAAGCTGAGTAAGTACAGCATTATGTTATGTATAGGAACACATGCATGCACAAGGACACATCCCAAAACAGACAGTTTATAATGCACTTGACCTTCACTGAAAAAAAAAGAAGTTCAGGGTTTCCCATAGAAGATACATTTCAAAGCAGTAGTTCAAAAGAAATCTTATCCCTCAGATTCAAATATTCATTAAGCCTATTAGCAATTCAAGCTTTGGAGATCTGT